GAACAATCAGGTAGATGAATTCGCCAAAATTATCATGGAGAAGTAGGACATAATACTTTATTCCAATCATCGTAGGTAAATATGATAACTTGATCTCATCATTTATACTAGTGTTCCAAAAAATGGAAAAGAAATTTCCTCGTTTTTATCACGACCGCAAGATTTCGTCGAATACAGTATTCGAAAAGAAATCCAAAGAGCTTTATAAACAATACCACAATTGGGGTAAATAAACACATAAGTCAAAACTTTCGTTCTATATGTATGTATATATATATATATATATATATATATATATATATATAAGGAGGAAAGTTATTAATGCTGCTGAAATGCACGTTTTGGGGCCTCCTGATACCGGAAAAGTGGTGTTTTTTCTTTCAAAACTCCGTCTGCCTGTCGATCTGTCCGTCTGAATAACACAATTTGAAGAAACCCCTTTCGATTAGACCAGAGTTGAAGCTCTGAGATTTTGAAAATCATTAATTGGTTTTTGAGCGTACTTTACATGAAGCCCACCAGACATCTTCACAATTTTCTTAAAACTTTCTCCAATTTTTCTTTAAATTTCTTCTACCTACACTTATAAAGGTGGCATAGATCCGATTTTCTCGGTTAACTCTGAATTTTCAAAAATTTCAAAAGTTGGAATTTTTTCGGGGTCTTCCTACAACTACAAAATTAAAGATAGACGTTTTTCATTGAAACTAATCTTATTTATCGTCGCAAGTTCTTTCATTAAGACCAGGTACATTTTTTTGATAGTGTTCGCGCAATATTGCGTGATATGTACACAATTTTAAAAAAATACAAAAATAAGATTTTCTCAAAAGCGGCTCCAATAGCACTCCTCTGCACTCTATAATATGACGTAAAAAGCCATACTGATCTATTCTTTTGATTTTTTTCAAAAATTACTAAAATCTACTATTAGGAAACCGGAAAGGTAATAAATTGTCAAAGAAATGTACTTTGAGCGACGATCGATGACAACAGGCAAGTTCGAAAATCTAGGGGAGACCAATGGAAATAGAAAACTATACAGGAATGTCTGTGCCATTCTGTCGCACCACTAGGTTATTTGTACCACGTGAGTCTACAGAAGGTAATCTTGCCGTTTGAATACCATATAATCCAAATAATACGGAAACTATTTTTTATTACTTTGCGTCAAGAATATGGTGTATGTCATCTTGCTGGTTTCTTGTGCTTCTCCATTTAGTAGAGTAACTGACTTAAGTGCTTATTCCCTGCACCGGCCTAATTTGTTAATGAGCATTCTTTACGACTTTTTTATTGATTTCAAATTAGTAGCCGAGATAAAAGTCATTAGAAAAAAATTTTCCTTGCCGAATGAAACGTAGTCTTTATAGATTTGAACCTTTAACCTCATTGAAAACACAAGAAGTTAAAATGTAGTATTTGGTGATTTTGTAAGTATTTTAGCATGAAATAAAACAGAGAAAAAAAAATATAATTTTGCTCCCTGTACAGATCTCAAGTTTGGAAAACTCTTATTTATTCTTATATCTTTCCAACAAATGACGTTTTTGTACATGCCTTTATCTTTCTTTTCTTCCGTATTTAGAAAAGCTTATGATTCTGGCTTAAATAGATTACTGTTGACTGTAATATGAATAATAAATGACAGTGCGCGCCACATCGAAACTTTTTCTCCGCTTAGTGGTAATTTGTTACCCAACAATTCCTCAGATTTTTAAAAAGCGCATGGCATAACATTGGATGAAGCTGAATTGACTAATTGGTTAATGATTCCGGGCGCGTCATATCCATCGGGAGGGGGCGAAGATGTTCCCCCGCTAGATGGAGAGATCTGCCGTCTGCTAGCTAAGTTTTTCCAGTTAGGTATCTCCCACCAGAGAGGCACCGCCCCAGCCGGGACGGTGCTCGATCGGCCTCCCGACATGTGTGGTAGTGTAGTGCATGTGTATGTAACTAAGTAATGAGGATAGGCAAGGAATAGGAAGGAAATATCGCGCGCGGTCCGTGGCCCGTTTGGTAGGGTACTGCTCCGACATTCGCCTGGTATTGATTGGAGAAAACACGGAAAATTACCAATCAGAGCAGCCGGCCTCTAGGATTCTCCTCCAGACATCGATTGAAATCGATCTCGCTATCTGGCTAGAGTCGAAAATCCCGCCACCGTCAGGACTCGATCGTAGGACCTCTTGGTCAGAGGCACTGTAGTGACATCAGTTGATGTTCTGAACCTCCTTTCCCGGTTTGAGTTGAATGCAAACTTCCATGCCACAAGAATCAATATGATTGAAAAGTGGTTTGGAATGTAGAGACGCAATTTTTCGAAAGCGACTATGCTTCATTTTTAAATGTTTGGGGGTTGGTCGCGTTCTTCCTAAAGCCATTCAACTTAGGGATAAATTACTTTGATAAAGAAATCTCTGGAATAATAGTAAAGTTCTAGGACATATTCGAAAATAAATTTGAACTTTCGGAACCCTTGCGGTTACATCGCACAATAGGAAGTACTGTAGAAAACGTACAACAGAAAAATATAACACGCAGCGTATGGAAAATTCCCCCAAAATATTGCTCTTGTCTAATATTGTTTAGAACGTGTTCTCAAACCTCACGAGTAGCTCATTGGTCGACGGGCTCGCTTTGCATGACGCCACCCCAGGTTCTATTCCCGATCGGCCAAGACTATAGTATGCGTTTTCCTTGAGATATCACAGTACCTGTTGCTGAGTCTCACAGCAGATGAGAAAACTCGCTTACATTGAGAAGACCAGAATACTGTGTAGGTATGTCTATGTGCTAACAGACATGCTTACTCAGATATACTAAGATCTTATTGACACAACGAATCAACGTAATGAAAACATGATGGCAGATATGAGTTCACTCTAGTATTTTACGAATTTATTTCATTTAGGGATTGTACTAGGATTGTATTAGGATAAGGACTGATTAACAATAGCAAACGATAAAACATCTGGGGCACATTACCTATAATTTAAAACTATAATCACGAATTTAGATTGAATAGAACGTTCAAATTTATTTGTGAACCAAAACAAAACCCTTAGTGTTTAAAATATAAAGATTTTAGCAATTTTACTAATGTCATGTCCGTTACTGCAATTTTTCAAAGTTTTAGTGAAAATAGAAATTATACCATACTTTAAAATGCTCATTTTCTTCAATTCGAGAAAAACATCTCTGTTTCCCAGAAAAGTTCTAAAATGTCACAAGGGCTTAGTACTTTGAAAGTACCCTCGACAATTAAAATGCCATAATGATCTCCGGAACGAGATCGTTCTTGTGATTCGTTATTGCGATATAAACGTAAAATTAATTGTTTTAAGTAGTATTTTGGACAAAATTCGTATTTGGGTAAATAGAAGGAGCATAACTTAATTTTTAATTTCCCTTTAAATATTACGTATTTTCCTTCATTTCATAAAAAATACCAGAAAACAGAGCAGTTAGACCTCCTTGCGGGTAACTTTATCTCAGACTTAGTGGTCTTGTTTCCCAAGGTAAGCTTGGCTCACTAGCATAGAAGCTACTAAATCCAAAGCAATCAGCTTGCGGCTCGTATGGCTCAATTATTTTTTATTGAATATCATTTACCTGCGAGGCCAAAATAACCCAATCTGACAGCATTTACTTTATCCGATTCTATCCATAATTGCACGAAGTGGGCGCGCTTCCCGATCCCGGCAGCGCGCGTGTGTCAGGTGGTGAGGTGGTGGTGGCTGGACGCGTGTGCGTGTGGGCGGGCAGGGGCGGGGGGCGCGTTATCGGAAGGCGCCCGCGTTTAAAACCGCGCGCTCAGTGCCGCCTCCCCAACTGGTCATCGGACGGACGAGGAGGCAGCGGACGCGGAGGATTCTACGAGCCAGCAAAGGTTTCTTCATTTTCTTTATTTTCTAATATTTTTGGCCACTGTTTAGCTATGACGGTTTCAGGAAATATTTGAGAGGGAGAAGTAAATCATTCTTTAAAATGTGAATTTATTTACGATGTCTAATTAATTTATACTTTACTTTCAATTTGTACTTTAATTCATAAAATATCTAATAGATATTTTTACAAATTTATTTATTAGAACGATTTTGAATGCAAAAACGTTGTTTGAATTGAAACTGAGAAACAATTTTAAAAACATTACTTGTAAATATTATATTAAAATCTGATATAATACATAAATTGAAGCATATGTGTATGTTATAAGAGTATAAAATATTTTTAACTCTGCGCATTTTCAATGGGGGACCAGGGCTTCAATAGACCCTCATCTGTATCTACCCGCGAGATTTGAAATTTTATTTGCAAATAAGGTTGTTGCTATCACCCTATTTCGATCGTGGATTTCGTACAGGTTTCCAACGTCCCTGAGAGCGAATGTTAAGATGTTTCTTGTCTTGCGTCTTAACTCCCCTCAAAACGTAATCTGAAGTTTAAAGCATTTTTGATTTTTAGTTGCCTCTTTTTTTCGTTGATTGTATTTCGGGAGGAAGGATTCATCCATTTTTTTTACCAATAAGGATTAAAAGGTTTGCCAATCTCTGAATTCATTTGACTGATTCATTAATTGTGAAAAATAATAGTTTTCGCACCTCTTCCTTAATTGCCTACCCAAATGAGGTAACAACCTCCAAAAATATTGTTTGAACAGATTTTGTAATTGAGTACTAAGAAAATCAACAGTCTTGCGACCTTCTGCAATTAGATGTCAAAATTCCAAACTTCCACTAGGTTACATAACCTTCTTCGCCATTAGACCTTGTCATTCTGAGGATTTCCTAGTAATTTCCATCCGACGCTGATTCACTTCTTCGTCGAAGTTGGTCTTTCCCCCCTCTCCTGGCTGTCTCTTTTCCGCGGCTTCCTCGCCCATCCCGGGAACCTGGACCTCTCCAACCACCGCCCCCCGGCGCGGCGCGGCGCGGTGCGGCGCGGGCGAGTGACGCGGGGCGCGTGGCGCTGTCAGGTCCAGCGGAGCGACGCGCGCGATGGCGGCCGGAGCGAAGGTGGTGCGCTGGTGGCGGTGGGTGGTAGCGGCGGCGGCGGCGCTGGCGGTGGCGCTCGGTGCGCCTTTGCCCGGCGGCAACGACCTCGAGGGCCCCGCCACGCCCTCCTACGTGCAGCACGTGCTGCCCTCCTTCGGCAGCGCCGTCTTCGGCGACCCCGACGAGCAGATCGGTGAGTGGCTCGCCCTCAAACACCAACTCAAGTGACCCTTCAGTGGTTGTCGGAATCGTCAGTCAGAAATGAAAAAGAGTGAACTTCTTATACGGGTGTTCCTCAATGGCAAGTTTGGCAAAGGATGAAACGCAAAAACGTTTCAACAGCTAGTGAATCTATTTTCGCCTATGCGTGCTACTTTTCAAAATAGAAGGAGTAGCAATACACAAAAAATGAAAATATTGTACTGAATTCTGGATTAAAAGAGGGATATTTACTCACTAGTGTTTCAGTATATAAGGTTCCTCTGTGAGTGCTGCGTTTGACTAGATACAATGCGGAAATGAGCGAAATTTGTTTTGGAGGGCCTGTACTGTTTAAAAGCCACTTTCACAACCATTTTGAGCATTACATACCTTTCAGGACCACTCAGTACAGTGTGAAATGGAAGACATTGAATTTCCATTTCCGTCCCTCCCATACTGTCTCAACCTTGCCCTGTCTCGTCGTCCCTGCTTCGCCCTCCCAGCTCTCCCCGACCGACCAAGCGCTGCCCGTCCCCTTCACGCGTTCCGCTCAATGGCACACGACGCGATTATGCAACGCCCACCCCAGCTGCCGGCGCAATGCTCAGATACATTGCACAAATTCCACATTTTGTATCATCAGAGGATGACTTTGGAACAATACGCTCTTAGTTCTTTCTAAGGATTTAAAAGGAACGTATTTGACAAACTCCACGTTTGTGGCTTAGTTTGGTTCTACGCTGACAGTCCTATGTCCTGACAGTCTTATTTTTATGTATTAAATTATAATAGTAGGAAATGGTGTTGTAATTGTGTGCTGCTCATGTGTGGGCCCTCTCGACAAACTATCGAGAAACTTGACAAACAGGCGAACGTTTCCAATCCTATATCAGGACTTACGTTGTTAACCACAGACCCAAGCCGCCCCGAAGGCAGCAGAAAGTGACATTTTTTTATATATTTAAGACGATTACCAATACAACCATGCCCGAGTCGGGACTCAAACCTGCGACCCTTTAGACCGAAAGCGTTACGGTACTAACGCCGTAACGATCTCGGCCATCTGGATGACAGAAAGTGATATTGTGGAATGATAATTTTGTCAATCGAAAAATGAGACATAAACTCATCATAGAGTCTCGTTGAAGTGAAAACCTTGTGCGTAGCTCTTTGCCACTGCAGGATAGCCTTGAAGATGGGCGTAATGCGGACATAATATATTTTTTTCGACAATAAACGTTTGATGAAATGGCTTCACATTTTTCTAATAATTGGGCATGTGTTAATTTGTCATCGGATAATTAATATTCATGAAAAAATCCGAAAAGTGTCACTATTGAAATTAATATTAAAAGTGAAATTAAAAATACCTATGAAAATCTAATGCTCGTCTATTACAATGGAATAATCGAGAATTTTAAATATTTGGTGGGAAACAGTACTGAATTATTAAAATTCCAAATGTACTCCGGCTCTAACATTTGAATGAGGTTACAGAGAAGGAATGTGATATTTCGCCGAACAAGTATGGAAATGTGCAAAATTGCTTATTGACTGAGGACGACAGAGAAAAGCGAAGTGTTTAATGGTGAATTCCAAATAAATTATTGACGAGTGTTTTAAAACTATTTAATCGATCGTTAGACACAGCATACTGTTTAGTACTGTATTAATTCGTACCGAAGCTGGAGAGTTTGGAAAAAATGATTTCTGTTCAAAGACACATATTTCTAGGAATTAATAGGATTGAATTTTGAGTTTTTCAAACCTTTTCGAAGCATTATACTACTGTAATTTGAATACACTAAATTCACTAAATTAACTTATCCTTTTACTGCCGTAATTTGAATTCCACTGTATTATAAAATCTGACCTAGAAACCTTTCCGAGAAATGGTCGCTTAGAGGATGAATGGGTGATGCAGACGACGGTATTAATAATAATTGGGTAGCAGGAAAAGAGATTAAACCCTAGGTAAAACATATGGCTATAATACATATGCACAAAATATGAAAACTTTGTCTCTTCTTTAAATGATTTCGTCTATTTCTGAAAAATATGTTTAAAGTTAAAAAAATCGACCATTATCTAATTTTACCATTTTTTAAAATTTTGTATTGAAGTCAAGAAAGTTTAGGTGTTTTTTTCCACTACTACTACTACTACTTCTTCCGCGACATTACTGTTAACGATGTTTCTAGAACAGAGTCTACAGATAAAGTAGACAGATCTGACCTGAATAACTAATGTAACTACATCTCTCTATTGCTGTCAAGGTTTCACTTTGAATTCATGTCATGATTTCACCGAGATAACATATGTATACGCATATTTTGTTTCATTCATATTCATTTTTAAAAGTCATATCATCATAGTGCAGTAAATGTATTGTCGCTTATCTTGTGAGCATATCATTCCGTAGTTTCAACAATTATAGATAGCAATGTAGCATTTTCGCAAATGTCGAAGAATTACAATTTTATGAAGAGTACTTTTCACAATTATATCTCTGATTTTGATAAACGGGTACTGGTACTGGTACAGGTAAAATTACATAATCCAGTTACTCAAGTATTGTGCGTTTGTCTCTCAAGACTAAATGAAATACTATTTCGAAATATTTATCGCAACAAGAAACAGAAGTTTTGCAATTCAAATCAAGTGAATTCAATTATTTTGAGAAATAATGGCTTGGTCCAAATAAGCTTAATTGTAGTAAATTTTCAGATCTGAGATGCTACATTTAGAAAGAGGCAATTGATTTTTCCGTTACTTTGTAATTAATATTTAAACGCATTTTGGATAGGTATAGAGGAAGATAAATATACTGAATTAACCAATCTCACAAAATAATTGTATTCAGTATGTCATTATTATAAATTAAAAATACTATTTTTTTGTTTTTGATTATATAAACCTTAATTGGGTAAAGAGAACTATGCCACAGAAAATACTTCATAGTACATCGTTTGGGCGGCTTTATTAACTTTAAAATGTAAATTTTATCATGTAAACTGTTTCAAAATAATGTAAATGACACGTGTGCATATTTCACAGTGTCCTATTTATATTGATATGAATACGATTACCATATGGTGAGTTTATTATTAAGGGAATAGATGTTACGAAATATATCGATGTTATGAAATATATTACGAAAATATGTATTCTCATTTGAGTAAGTCATTTTAATGATGTCCTCTGAATTATAAAGAAAAATTCAGGGTAAGAGAAGTCTAGCAATCGAAGGTAAATTAAAAGTCCTTTTCATTTACTTATTAGTGTAGAGGCCTTAATCTAAGATGACATTTTTGCAGAAGGTATTTTTTATTTCATCTCAAGGAGAGAGATACGTACGTAATTTCTAAAAACGGAAAGAAAGGAAACATACAAAACTTCATTACGTATAGATACAGATAATACGTTTGTAAGTAATAGTACGTAATAGTAAGATACTACTAGAGTAAATAGGGAACATCCCCTATTTAAGCAAGGTAGAATGGTCCAAAGAAACGACATATAGAACCACATGGGTCAACTTATAATTGAATGTGTAGGTACCTGAGATTCACAAAATACCTTATTGATTATTGGCGAAGTTAAAATAGTGATGATAACTTTTTATTATTCTGTATTTACATATTTAACTTTTACTTATACAAATCTAAAGTTATTTATGCTTTTTTGTTCGTGTCTTTATCGAGTGACAAACGAATCAGGAAAAAATAAACTTATGACAACCCATACATACCGTAGTATGCTATTTTTAATTGTTATTTTTTTAACATCCTATATTTTTTCTTCACACTTTCGCTAATCGAAGTCCCAGTCTATTAACACAGGGCATACTTTCTGGTTGCTTGATCTGGGCAATGTGTTCGAGGCGCCGTGGGGGTGTGTCCGCAGGGGAGAAGGTGTCGGCGTGGTCGAACGAGACGGGCGTGAACCCCGAGGAGTTGGGGGAGTACGCCGAGGGCGACATCCTCTTCCCGGCGACAGCGCGCAACGGGCTGGCCACGACCATGGCCCGCTGGCCTGAGGGCGTCGTGCCCTACAAGTTCAGCTCCCAATTCTGTGAGTTCTTTGCTACTTTTATTATTGATATTATTTTTTTATATTTTAACGTCCTTTAAAAGCGCATTACGGTCCATTCACTAAACTGCTGATATACATTGTCTTTTACTTGGCTTTCATTATTATTATTATTATTATTATTATTATTATTATTATGTATTGTCGTTGTGAGTAGTTGGAAAACCTAAAAGTAATTTTATGTAACAGTGAATATAGTTTTGATTTTTGACAAATATTCCATTTTAGTTCCACACATTTCGTAAAACTAAACATTTTACCTCGTGAGGCTCTGTCAATAGTTATCGGTCATCGGTCTAAGTATATAAACAAGCATTGATTGTGGTTATGTATCTGAACCGGTTTCTTTTCTAATACGCACGACACTACAAATTTATCTAGTTTTCACTTCCTTTTTACCTATATCTTAAACGTATAAGAGCATAGTGGTTTTTCGAGACCTACTGTACCTTCAGTCCAGTTCATTATCAGTTTATGTAAACGTCCTTTAAAAACTCATTACGGTCCATTCACTAAACTGCTGATATATCTTGCCTTTCACGCGGTAGTATAATTTGGCATTGTGAATGAGTTACGAGGAAAGTCTTGACTCACAATCGAAACAAATATTAGGGAATTTAGTTATCAGTGAACGATACGCTGTGATACGTGATAAACACTTGAAGTGTTTACGAATAGAATTACCTGTTTGATTTATAAAGCTGTTTCTTGAAATAATAATAAACAATGATTATAATGATCTTTTGGACACTGCGTTGAAATTGTTGTTGGACACTTGCATTAAACTTTCAGCTTTGCATTTCAGGGCTTCAAAATGTTTAACTCCTATGTGTAGGCAATCATATAGAAGATTTGTCAATAAATACGTCCACCTCGAATATTTTCGAACAGGTTTTAAAACAATCAGATGCGATTTTTACCAAACGTTTCAGGATATAGGGGCTCATCAGGTGTACTTATTAGCTTTTCGATGGCATTTTGTATTTTAAAGATTGGGCTAACTTCGTTTTTTAAATGGAACATTGAATGGTTTACCAAATAGGTCTTGAGGAGACGAATTTAGCAATATGACGTATGTAGGTATTTGATGAATAATTATTAACACTAATGAGTTTTAATTATCCAACATTATAAATCAGGTTCCGAAGTTCACGGTGTGGTTGGATTTCTAAACATTTTCTCCTCGGTCTCCTTTGGTCTTCTCGGATTAAGGTGTCTAGCGAATTTTGTGACCTCTGAACAATCGACACCGCGGCATACACAAACGGCAGTTCCAAGTACAATCGGGTCCATCTAGAAATCGCGAAAGATAAGTCTGTCTCATGTCGTGAGTGAATGACGTGGAGAGTACAAAGCAGAGATTTCTCGCCGCGCGGCGCGTCATTTCTGCTCACATTTGACTTAGGAATATTTACAATTTTTCGAAAAGGTTTGTGTTATCAACACCGTAATATCTGAAAAGCTAGGTTGTTCTTTTTGCTCGCAAATAGATCGACTTCGCCCATGCACCCATTTACCGAGTCTCAGTACCATTATCTCGGTGGCAAATGCATGTAACTTTATCAGGGGATCAGCAATTAGCTGGATCCGATTTTTATCCCCCAGGGTTGTTAGCACTGGTGGCATGGAAGATGAAATGTTGACGATGATAGGATTATAGGATGACAGACACATACATATAAACACAAATACACTCATGCTCGAGGCGGGACTCGATCCCGCGATCTTCCCTTCCGAGATCGCCACGGCACTACTTCCTTAGCGATCTCGGCTATCTGGACGGCCAAAAATGTTTTTTTAATAATGTTTTAAAGCTAATTTACGAGTACCTACTGAAGAAAATTGGAGAGTTACATTAAAAATATATTTAGTGTCAATATTAATGAAGACTTTGCAACTCATTTGAATGTATGCCCTTTTCTGGGAATAGGGCAATTTTCTCAGTGAAACAAAAATATTTTTGATTTTTTTTCTGTCTTTCATAAATACACCAAAACCGTTTAAAGCAGAGACATCAGCCTTACCGTGCGAGTTGATGCACAATGATTTCAAGTAATCAGCGGCGTGATGTTTACTATGAATTACATTTCCCAAGACTTATGCTACCATAATATACATGATACAAGTATGCCCATTTAAAAATCGAAGTTGTTTTGATCCGCCTGATGAACGATGCTGCAAATGCGAATATGCTGGTGATTTCCTTTTGGGCGAAATGAACTCAGTGTCTTGAAAGATTGCGTAGGCATTCAGCAGTTGAATGATTGCGTAGGTGTCTTGAATGCTTGTACCACACGAGGACTCCGCCGGAACGTTTGTAGATAGAGAAATCCGAACAATGCGGTCCCCAAGGTTGCTGCAAAGCTCTGCGCTACTCTACGAGTACCTGCATTCCGTATGACGTCGGATTTCCATTATTTTCATTTCATTATCTTTTGTGCGATTAATTATCCAACAAATACCAACATTTGTGGTATCGATTTTGTCTTCTCAAGACGTATTTCATTCGTCTACAAATGTGTAGTATTCCATTTAAAAGTTAAATTACTTTAATACTTTTAAAATTTTAAAAATGCCATCAACAAGCAAATGAGAAAACTGATGAGCCTGTAAGTCCTGAAACTGTTGGTCAAAAATCTTCCACCTCAATATCTTGAAACGTTTATAAAATATTTGAGTTAAATGTATTGGTATTTTGCGCAAAATGGGGTAATAAATAATGATTGTAAGTAATGGATTGTATGTTTCATATTAGTATTATTAAATGAACTCAACATTTTGCTAATAAATTTTCGCAAAATTGAAGTTATTCAAAATAGATTGTTTAGACGTGTTTTAACTTTTTCATAGTTTATGAGAAATAACTTCAAGAGAGAAGTTTCTATTGAACCCCTACAAACATGGATAAATAAATTATCAAACAGTTTTTACTCTTCACTTAACTTTCCAATGAAGACAGTCAACTCATCCTTTACCCCAAATTAACTCTCGTTATTCGAAAGATATATCACATTCTCCTTAATTCCACTAATTAGCGATTCAACAATAAAAAATCACGAAAATTAAAATACCTGTTCAGAGTCCCCTTCCTGGAACTACCTCTAAGAATGTTAATTCTTTTTAATGTTTTATTATGTTTATAATATAATGTTCTGGAGCCTTATGTTTCTACCTATCCGTAGCGTATCGAGACCAGGAGTTACTCCAAGAGGCGTTCCGCCATTACCATGAGTTTACGTGCATAAAGTTCGTGCCATACACAAACCAGCCTGACTACATCTACCTCACCAGCAGCAACACAGGCTGCTGGTCCTCCGTGGGGCGGGTGGGCGGCATGCAGGAGGTGAGTACCACCTTGAGGAAGCAGTTCAGGATAACTGTTATCCTGAACAAAGCGGTTCATTTCGCAGCTGTGAGTAAAGTTTTTTACTCTTACCTTTTTTACCAGCTGCCGTGTAATCTACATTTATTACTAGTAAACATATTCTATTTATTAAACATTTTTTTTCTTTACTGGACTTAAAAGTACCTTTTTAAGATGTGTGACTTATTTTGTGCGCTGATTATCTTTCAAAAAGAAGACGAAGGAGAACCCTCTACATGACGTTCCCAAAACAAACGAAATAGTAGAAGTAGTTACCCAGTCACTGTACACTATTCTCGGGTAGCGAAGAGCTCTCGACTGGACTCCTGATTTGGGGTTGTATAGAGCTTGCAAGTTTGGTGTGTGTGTGTGTGTGTGTGTAAGAGTGTGTAAGGGGAGAGGAGGAACGAGCATGTTGAAAGAGAAATTGCATCTAGTCCTTAGTCAATTTGTTACGATTCTACTCCGGCATTCACCTAATTATATGTAGGAGATACTACGGAAAAGCAGTGACTGAATTAGACCTAACTATCTAGCTAGTGTCGAAAATTCAGCACCATTGAGGTCTTAACCTTCGGACCTCCCTGTCAACCAAGCTGCAGTGACAAGAGTTGTTGGTCTGACCCACCTCACTGATAGGGGCAGCCGGGTGGGAGTTACTCAGACCGTGTGGGTGAAAGAGCGATCTTAAATAAACTAACGAAGCCCTCTTGTTGGTGGCGTGTTGCAGGTGAACCTGCAGAGTCCGGGCTGCACGAGCACCGTGGGCACGCCCATCCACGAGCTCATGCACGCGCTGGGCTTCCTCCACGAGCAGAACCGCTGGGAGCGCGACCGCTACGTCACCATCCACTGGGAGAACATCCTGCAGGGTGAGCCTCGCCTTCGCACCCCTTCCCCAAAAGAAAAAAATCATCACGCATCGGGATCCTGTAGCGTCTAGCACTCGACGATTTGTCCCGCAGTTTCATTATGCAATTATTTCACAAATAATATTTCCACAGAGCGGTAAACCAGACTCAAACAGCCCTATTCCTAGAATTAATACACAATTTTATTACATTTATTGCTAAATTCAAAAGCATGACATTCCCAAATAAAAAAAATTTCGTGTGATTTATTTATACGACTGGTCTCGGACTATCTAGCTCGTTCATCTTCCCAAACCCTTTGTAAAGAAAACATTTTTAACATGAAATTACAAATGAGTTAGGGATTTCTAATAGTAATAAGCCATCGAGAGGCCAAGGATGGTAAAAGCACTTTCTGTGAAAATGGTGTTAAATGCATACACATGTAGCTAAAGTACTCAAAAGTCAGGGGTGGATCCCAAATGTATTTGAGAGGGGGATCAATTTCAGTTCGGCTGAAATAAAAAATCAAACTATTCGAGTATATTCACAATGACAAAACTGTTTTTGATGTGATCTATGTATGGTAATTATGATGATAAAATTGAGTAAAATTACAAATAAATGTCGGCTTGGAGGCTGGTGGTATGACCCCTATGCCCCCTATCCACCACTCACAAAAATGTTGTGGCCAACGAATTGTTAATGGAAATGGGACAGGTAATTATGATTACTGATATACACAATGTAGGGATGAAAAAAATTATCCACAATCAAACTGAAAACATTAAACTTCATTTTCTAAGAACTGGAGAGGTGCCACCTATCCCCAATAGCCCACTCGATGCCTCAAACAATTTTAACAAACAATTTATAAATATTTAACAAACTTTTATCAAAAGAAAAAAATGAAATTTAGCATTTGATTACTAACTTATAATCATTTCCAAAAAAGAATTTCAACATTTGAAGTGAGGTGCAGAGTGATTCCTGCTTAAAGTGTCTTCGCGACTCAAATCTCTCTTTCGGGTATAGTCTGCCCATTTGAAATGAAACAAAATGAGAAATAATTTTTTACATAGCCCCTTGTAAACGACGTTCTTTCAAGTCATGTGTAGCTTGTTGAAAGTTCAATTTGTAGCACTAGTGCTAAAAGTGAGACAATGCTCAAGTGTTCAGATTAATGTGTGAAAGCAACAAACATAATCATTTCGTCTGACTGCACCAGCTACTACTGACCTTAATGTATCCTTTTAGGATTTGAAAATTTGAATTAAAATAAATTGAAAGTCAGTAAGGTTGTCTAAAAATAGTGTATGACACACGTGGTAAAAGTGATTTTATTTTGCTCGTAGGATTTCATAACACATGCTCAATTGGCTTCGTGTCGCAACATTTCCTACTCGCAAAATAAAATTGTCACTTTTACCACTCGTATCATGTATAATTTTTTCCACGCAGGTCGCGAAGGCAACTTCCAGGCTGCGACGAAGGAATCCACCGATGATTACGGCGTTCCTTATGACTACGACAGCGTAATGCACTACTCCGGAAATGCCTTCACTAAAAACGGTCGACCCACAATCGTGCCAATGGTAAGGGACGCAAGTACATTTCTATGTCTTAATTTTAATTTATAAAATATATGGAGCATCTGACCTAAATGTACTAATTTCACAAGAGCTTAATGCAAGAATGCATGAACTCAAAAATGTTGATATTTCCTTCTCTAGGGCCATGCACGAAGCTCAAACAGAGTTAATACATTTTAGACTGTTGCATCCCGCATCTGCTTGTTCGAATTCCGTAGGGGCTGCCTCCTAATAAGTATTGAGCTCCCGCTACCATATTAAATTAAGATTTTAGTTCGTAAATAAGAATGACATTTTTTATTGTTTAGTTCTTGTCCTAATTTACATAATATGAAGATATCGACTGAGAGGAACCATAGGGACTCAAAAGAAGGTGGAGGAGCATAAACTCAAGGTTTTGCGATAATACTGAAGCTGTTGGAGAGGGGAGGGCCAATAGAGACCAGATTACAACAGCGCGTAATGCATTCCGGATTCCTGTACATAGAGAACACTGTAACAGTCCTAACGCAAGATGTCTGTGTTGCAGGATTCCAACGCCCAGCTGGGTCAACGCCGTGGCCTCAGTAAAGGTGACATTAAGAAACTCAATTCCATGTATGACTGCAAAACGACCGAGTTGCCAAAGAGGAATTCGAGTATAGCATCTTTCATTGATAATATCTCGGCGTTTTTTGGCTAGACGTTACTCGTTTTACTCAAAAAAGGAGCTTCAGTGTCGATCGCCTCTGCAGCATTTCATTCTGGACTGTTTCTTTTGTTTCCCACGTCAGATATACTTCATTTAAATCGTTATGATTTACATTTGTTGATCGTGATGACAGTGTTTCATTATCATTAATCGCTCAAAACATATTGCGTATTCTTAAGTTAACTGTAGCTTTAAAAAAGTAGGTGTAATTTGTGATCAGATTGAACTGTAAGACGGTCATGCTCCGGAGTGATTCGTTTCATTTATCGCTACGATTTCTTCTTCGTTTTACCGTGCAGTTCAATAAATAAAATATTGGGTATAGGTGGTGATAACTAGAATTTTAGATAGGATTGATTTTCAATAAATTTCTCCGAACATATTTGTATTTGACTGAAAAGTAAAGTTGTCAGATATCTTCACTTGGACGAATGATTTTGAATGATACAAATTTGCAACAATTTTGTTCTAGAATTACTTTACAAATATCTTTGCTAATAGCAGAATGTTTTTACTATTACTCAAAAATATTTCATGGTTCATTTAACACAAAAAACAATGTTGGCCTCGTATACATTTTGTAAGTTGAGAAGGAAGCCAGAAACGACCAGAGAAAGAAAGAAAGAAAGCTGGAAATCTATCTCTTTTTATAATTCTTGAAATTGTATATTATACAGTAATAGCGTAAAAACAAAGTTTTATTAGGAATCTCCTGCAAAGATTCTTGTATCTAGTCATTTGTTTGCAAAGAGTAAAAGGTCGGTTGACAAGTTAATTCATTAGAATATTGTAGCTGCGCTAGGGAATATAAGTTAATTAAGTGTCAATAGAAGTACAGTGTATTTTCTGAAATGCTCATGTGTTTGTGTTTCAGATGAATATCATATAACAATAATCTGATGTGTAAATTTCCATTTTCTTTGATATGTTGTCTTACTCTCACTTTTCATTTTTTTAAATTTTGTAATTATGTTATTTTGATCTACTATCAATATAATTATTATGCTGAGTGGGAAAAACAATTGAATCTTGTCGTTTATAATAACATTGATTGATAATCCAATTGCAACTCAGAGGTGATATGAATTGAACAATATGAATGACCAATGTTTTGCTAAAGGAGTATGAGTTCAGTATTTTATTCTTGTCTATTTGATTAATTTCTATTTATTTTTATGACTCAATTAGCACATACTCATATATGTACACTTACTTTATATAAAGTAACTAAGAGCTTGTAAAAAGCGTCAAAAAATAATAATAAAATGTGTTTGAAATATATTTTGTCTTCGTCATTGACATTATTTCTCCTTTATAATGAGAGACATGTTTACAAATTGAGGGGTTTAATTAACCTCTCACAAGAAATAGAGGATACAACACATCTCATTCGGTCACTAAAGCATGAGAAGTTAGACATTTTCCTCCAAAAACCCTTGCAAAATTAATTGTGTACGCTATCAACACTTTGACAACTCTTAGTATACATTAACCCTTGTCCACAATTTACTGATCTTAATGTTCTCATACATACAATTGATTATTAACATAGAATTCAATATTTACACTCAAAATTAAAATATCTTCATTATGTATTTACTTCTATTTCTACTCTACATATATTAAACTTCAAAACGAGATGCAAGTGTATGTGACTGTTTAGTCATGTGGCCAATCATTCATGACAAACTAAATTGATTAATTAAAACGCGCTCGACGAATAATGCGTAGAAATAATTTGCATTCATTTCACGAAATTGTCTAAGTTACGTTGCAATACCCCTATTTTTCTCATTTCGCCAACTGGAGAATGTTGGCAAGAAATCAATGTATTTCTGTTCCTTTAATGCAAGAAAAGTACATTTCAATAAAATACAATAATTAATATAAAAGCGCTCTACATATTACTGAAATACAGAAGTATTTTATAAAAATCTACTCTATTGTATCTAGTCGATTATCTATCTACTCTATAAATTAAAGTCGTGTTAAAAGTAAACGTAGGATGATTGAAATCGATGTAGCGTCCTGTCCATTTACATCCGCTTGATGACTTAATTCACACTCATACATATTGTCAACATGATTCGTCATGTCGTATACAGTCTTATTATAGAATATTATTTTTAGTAACAATATGGGAACAATATAAATCATTTGTGAAAAGTATTCGTATCTCTAAATTAGATGCGCTGAACAGACTCTCTGAGGCAGAAACAGCTGGCGACCGGTCAAGGCTTACTAGAACAGTTAAAGGATGCCGAGACCGTTCATGTGGATCGCCGAAGGGCAAATTAGCAGGATGATGAAGTTTTCGATGCCCAACTACTTTAAAGCCTGGCAAAAGAACACAAATCAAACACTCATCCTCTGGCCTAAGCAAAGCAATATATTTCAAGCGGCGAATTCTCAGGTAAAGATTTGTGGACCGGGAGATGTAGATTGGAGTCCGGCACTGGCAGGAGCAGATAATGGGCAGGAGTTTCGACACCAGCGACGTAGCTGGGATTCGAAGTGCTCTGTTCGGTCATTTTTGTGGTTTCATTTGACAAGTCCAGACGAATTCCGGAGCAGTAACATACGTTGGTTTAGGTATCGCATGCAGTCAGGGTGCGAACTGACGGGCAATGCCGGGGAGTTTGGGAGTTTGATGTCCGTTTCTGGAAATAGGACACCTCTAGGGGCCTCGTTTGTGACTTCCACCATTAGATATATTCAATCGAAGAAATCGAGGTTATCGAAAAAAACTTTTTCACAAAAAAGGAATGTTTATAGGGGTTGTCCCTAAAAAATACAATGTAAAATTGGAAGGTGGATATATGAAAATTAGTTGTGTCCTACATCTCGGGCAGAAAACAATGCTTGTGGACTCGGTAATTTAACAACCTCGGTTCCCCTATGCACTAACTATTGTTAATCGATGTGATTGTACGTTCGAGGCAACCAGGTAACCATTTTCTCGATAGTAGTGTTGATAAAAAAGAAAGCAGACCGTTTTCGTTCTCATTCTACGATAATGGATGTAGTAGTACTTGGCTGTCTGCAGAATGCTCCTAACGCCAAATTATCACAATGTCACATCGTTTTTTTTTATTTTTTGTTAATTCGATCAGAGGAGCATCTAAATTAAAGTATTTCGTAACATGCATTGACTGTATTTTTTGGGGTACCTTATTCATAGTTTTAATTAGAGTAATTGCATTTTAGCATGATACCATTTTACTTTCTATTTACATTTCTTACTTTCAGAAAGGTCTTCTTGTAAGACTGGGTAGCTTCATGAACATAACATTTTCTTATCAGTTTAATCCACTCATTGCTATCGGACTTGAGATAATGTTGTTAGGATGTAAAGCTTTAAGAGAAAATTAAATATTTCACACTAATAACAATTTTATCTTCTTTTTGAAACCTAAGAAATACTAGTACTTTCGAGGGTTGAGACCAGAGCTGTGGGTAAATTTAGCATTAAGTGAATTTAATATTAGCAGAGCACAATGTGCAACCACCGTACTTCCATAACCGTAAAATGCATCGTGCACAATACATCACCCGATGATTCAGGTGGATACATATTGTTTTGCGATACATCCCCGCCTTCCCGACGTAATGTTAGAGTGCGGAGACTCAGAAGCGGGTGCGTAACACACGATATTTTATTGAAGATATGCTCCCAAAATGAATTTAAAAGACTAAAAAATCGCAGAAATGCACATGATGACAGAATAAATGGCTAAGAACGTGTACCGCCCCACCGCTTCGGTCCCAAGGGTTGCGGGTTCGAATATCGCCTTGGGTATGGTTGTTCCTTGCTTTTATGCATGTGTTGTCGCGTTTTGTTTCGTAACCCCAGGCCAGAGCATAGAGGAGAGATACAACTATATCTCTACTCTATGGGCCAGAGGAGCCGCAAAGTGTGTTGATGTCTAGTGTAGGTCGAATATGCATCCCATCGGGGTAACCCGCTGTCGACTGAGAAAGCACTAAAAATATCGCAAAAATGATAAAAATATAATATAAAAATAAATTTAAGTTTTCACAATTTCTTTGCTACTGTACTGGATTATATTGATGATTTTTGAAATACTGAAGTTTTCTGAAGAACGTAAGATTTCCACGATTCGGGAGCGAAGATGTCAGGTTTTTCAAATGTTGCTAATCTTGCTTTGTTGGTGCTTTCCACAGTGTAAGTAACATTTCCTAAATAATGATACATTCATTCATCTTTCAACAATGCATAGTAAACGGGTGGGGAATATATTCAAGATTTCAAGAAAACGTGCACATATTTTGCTACTTTCACATACATTGCTTGCAGTTTTTACTGTTCTTTGACGACATATCTCAAAAAAAATGATTGGCTAGTTTTGACTAGGAAACACTATTTTTTTATTTTATCAAACTTGTATGCATAATTAAATAAGCTTACATTTTTGCGATTTGATTGTCTTTAAACAAACCTTGAGAATTTTCTTTCAACAATGTAGGCCCACCAACACGATAGTTAGGCTGACTTCAGGTCTTAATATTTTTTTAAAATGTGCTTCATCTATGCAAAAAATCCTGAACTACGAAATTATTTAAATTTTAGCAGCGCGATTGGAATCAACATTATCCGTAATTCTGAGCATCTCTCAAAACAGAATGTACTTTTGATTAGTTAGCTCCATAAAACGACACCGATTTCAGGACGGTTTGAGAGAGATGTATGGCCTTGTGGATGTCGTGTCGCTAAGTTATCAGTTCTAGTGATCGCTATTCAACGTCTTTGTCATGAACTTCGTGGCAGTGGTTCGTCTTGTCGTGAGAGCTAGAATGTATGGTGGAAAGAAATAATGAATTCTGAAGTCAGTAGGTTCTCTTGTCGATATATGATTTGATTGATCGATATAATCCTGGTCTTGTCCACTCGTCACAAAACAAGTCTTCTGTTATAAATTATGTATAGTTTTTCTGTTCACTTTTTTTGCTAGGTGGAAATCTATTAATACATTAAGGAATTGAAAGTGTAAAATCATTCACCCTCATAAGTAGTGGGAACTACTGAATTTCTCAAAAAGTGTCAGAGTATTATAAGAGCGGTGACAATAATGGGAATAAATCCTATATTACTTTTTATTTCGTAATTAGAGTTGATAAACTATCAAAGAGACTGAAGAAAGATTTAAACAATGTTGGTAAGCTGATCGATTTCAATGCCCAACCTTCTCAGCTAACAAATGGCTAATATCGTAACAGATTTGTTCACCGGCACATTGAAATAGATCATTTAATAATGTACAGAACTTATTTAATATCCAAGCATGCTTGTACTTTCATCTTTAATTTTATTAGTTAGATGGGTACAATTATTGAGATCATATACTACCATGGTGTTAGGACAATATGTCAGCACAACATAAAATGAAACAAAATCACTGTTAAGTTTGTGGTTAGATTTTGATCAACTTTTGTTTTACATTTAGGATTGGAAGAAATTAATTACATTTACAAGAGGGATTACTTTTTGCCCTAAAGATACACTTGGACATTTTATGTTAATATATTTTTATTCATTCATGAGATTTAAACATATTTGTTACAGTATTAATAAAACGTTATATAAAAAGTTTGGTAAAAAACTTTTTGTAGTAAACAAATAGGTGTATAAAATAGATTTGAATTTAGTTGTGGCGGTTTGCAACGACGTCAATTCTAGAGCTACAGCAAGCTTAGAAGGAATGGCATTCAGCTGCGTGGCTTGCTGTCGAACAAGCTTTGCTTGAAGGCCTGGTCGAAATCAAAACTGTCGTCGTGTTGTGGTGCCTAGAAACAAATCAAATTGAGGTAAATTCGAAAACAAAAATTGAGATTGAAAAACTGAATATAGTTTGACCGCACATAAAATTCGCCATCAGCCTAAGCATGCATCAGCATTTTAACCATCACCCCTTTCAACTGATCCCTACAGTCCGATTTTCCCTAACAGTTCGACAAATTCGTAAGGGAGTGATAGCTATTTTAGATACAAGGGAGAGATTATCTTGTCGTCCAGGAAAGGCCATCTCCAATATAATAGTTTGTATTGCTCCAGTTGTTTTGCCGTTTGATGTTATGTCAGTGTATATTCATTGCGTTTTGCTAATTTATTTTGGGGGGGTGTTTGCATTTGTTCTTATTGCTGCTGCTTTTATTCTTATAAATGTGTTGTCGTTGTGTAACCTTCAATTAAATGTACTAAGAATGGGACTTGGAACATAATATTTATGAAGCCGCATTCAAAAAAATATTTAGGGTGTAAGTTCTAAAATGCTTTAATTTTATTTCTGTGAGATTAAAAAGTGTGGATATTAAATATTATAATAAGTGATCTTGATTGTCTACTGAAAAACCACAGGCGTGTGGCGTGTGTCTGTGGTTTGGGTTCCGCGACGGCAACCACGTGACCGCCGCGAGAACGCGTGGCAACGCCGCAATCTCTCCCAACTGATAATCTCTAAAAGTTTAAAACTCAAATTGCATTTACGACTACATTTAGCGTATTCACATACGGAATTTCTGCAACATCTTTTAATTGTCTCAACGAATGCTGTATGGACTTTACGGCAAACAAATACCACAATTCTGATATAAAAGTTTAACAATAAACATTGGAACTTTCTAGATGAAAGTATAATAGTTACATCCAGTCTTTCTAGAATTGATTTAAGTGAGAAGAAACACTGAAAAGATAGAATATACTGCAATGCAACGATTTAGAGAGACATTCATATATAATATAATAAATCTACCTAAATATTAAAGATTAGGAAATATTTGTTGTAATTGGAAACTAAATAATTTAAATAGACAATTGACTAATGGAACAACATACCTCTATATCGCCAGAACTTCATGAATAAGATTGATTACATGTTCAAAGTTAATATTACCAAATTAAAATTTAATTTTACGTGTTAATAGAAAGTCCTCACAAAACAATGACGAATTTCAAATGGTCTGATTTGGCGCGAGCGCTCAGGCCTTCCCCACCCGTGTTGAGCGCTGCAGGGCAGGGCCGTGGGGGAGCGGCAGTTCGCTCTGAACGGGTCGCGCGGAGACTTGGTGCACCAGGTGCGGAAGACACCATTGATCTCCACATTCCTGCCGTGTGATGCCGCCTGACGATGTGAGTCAATCATTCACAGTAAATGCATTTAAATTGTTTATACACAGATAAGCGTACTTAGTGTATTTGTAGTCTATAGTGAAGATGCATGACGGCGAAACTGAAATGAATCCTTCAAAAGTTCAAGACTTTATTCGGTTTTGAAATTTCGTATTCGTTGAAGCACTTTTGGTTGTACGAATACTAATCATGTACTTGATATATTCTAATATTTATCTACTTGGCTGTCCGGGACAAGTCGTGTCCTCCGTAATGATGCCGACGATACCTACACGTACTACCTCAAATCAAACAACACCGAATTAATTATTTTTTTTCACCTAAAGTAATAAAGCACATTACGTTTTATGCTTAGTGAAGAATTCAAAAGTACAAAAATGGGGATGCGTTTACTGCATAACATACCATTCCACATTATTGCGGAATCGAATGGATAAGAATTCGGCGTTTTACTGTACTATTACACCATGGGTTTCTTTCCTCTTTCAGTATTTCTATCTTTGCATTCACTCGTATCCATCCTTCAGCAATTTCCGACCACAAGTAGATTCAGGGAGAA